GCCTCCTGGCCCCGCGGCGGCGACTGCTTCGCCGACCGCTGCGGGCCCGCGGCCCTCATCCGGCCCGTTGCCCGGCTCCCGCCTCCCGCCCGGCTCAGTGAGCGCCGCGCGCTGTAGTAGTTCTTGGCTGTGGCCGCCAGGCCCCCAGAAGCCCCGGCGCGCCTCTGCTCTCGCGGCTCCGCGGCCACAGCACTCCGTGTCCGCCGCATGGCTCCGGGAGCCCGGCGAACAGGCCTCTCAGCTATGCGCGTCCCCGCTAGGCGGCGCGCGCATCCGCCTCCTGACAACCTAAAGGCCCTTGGGGTGGTACGCAGCGTTACGGGCCCAGAGCTCGGGGGTACCTGATGCCCGCTGCCTGCCCGCAGAGGGAGACGGTGGGCGGATTGGCCTAAGGGCCTGCACCTGTCCCAAGGGACTGAGCCTCCGCCTGCGCTTGCAGGTGCCCAGTGCCCGTTTGATCTGCAAAGACGCTTCCGTCTCTACTGAAGCCAGACGACGTAAATCGGTTGTACTTTCCAGACCTGGGGAGGCCTGCATTCCGAGTTGGCAACCTTGGGTGACTTCGTCTGGGTGGTGACACTACCTACCTTGCAGAAGCCATCGTGAACCTGACAGGAGCAAACGTGTGTAAATAGCCTGGCACCTGCTTCTTGCAGAATAAATGGCAGCTGAAATCATAGTTCTTAAACTTACAGCTTTTTTTTTTCTTTTTTTTCAAAGACGGTCTCACGTAGCCCTGGCTGTCCTGGAACTTACTATGTAGACCAGGCTGGTCTCGAACTTAGAGATCTGCCTGTCTCTGCCTCCCAAGTACCACATCTAAAGGTATGCCCGGCCAAACTTAGTCTTTTCTATTACATTATAAAGCTTTGAGGATATCAAGAATTAGCAGATTTTACTTTTGCAGTACTGGGGATCGAACCTAGGGCCTCATGTAAGCACTCAACCATTGAGCCACAGCTACAGCCCCAGATTCTGTTTTCAATTTTAAATAAATGGACGAACCCAGAATCACATTCCATTCACATTTTTGCAGAATATGTTCTTGAAGTTTTAAGACAAAAATCACAAGCCCAAGCCACCATGGTGGCTCATGCCTTTAATCCCAGCACTCTGGAAGCAGAGGCAAGGCAGAGCTCTGCGAGTTTAAGGCCAGCCTGGTCTACATAGTGAGTTCCAGGACAGCTGGGGCTACAGGGAGACCCTGTTTCAAAAAGAAAAAAAAAAAGATTGCTGAATTAAACAGAATCCATTTATTTTCAGTTTTGTGACAATAAGTATAGCTTTAGCTATAAAGGTTTAACAAAGTGTTCACACATTAAAATTTTCTAAATAATGTATAATTTGTTACTGGAGTTATAGTTTACATACAGAAAAAGTGCTATATCTTAAATGTATAGCATTTGCATCCATCAATTCAGATGTGGCACATTCTACACACAGAATTTCTCCCAAAAGAAAACAGAAAACCATTATTTTGACTTTTTATTGCAATAAATTATTTTTGCCTTTTTTTAATTTATTTTTTTAAGATTTATCTTTTTCTATGTATATGTGCCAGCATGAATTTTATGTATTCCTAATGTCAGAGGACACTGGGTACTCTGGAACTGGTTATAGGCAATTGTAAGCCACCTGATGTGGATGCTAAGAACTGAACCCAGATCTTCTGCAAGAGCAGTAAGCTCTCTTAACTGCTGAGCCATCTCTGCAGCCTATTATTTATTTATTTATTTATTTATTTATTTATTTATTTATTTATTTATTTATTTATTTCAAGTATGTGCATGTATTTGTGGGTCCAAGGAGGCTAGAAGAGGGTGTTGGATCCTCTGGAGCTGCAGTTATAGGCAGAAGGTTTGATATATAGTCCTTTATGCCTTTACCAGACATATAGAGACTATGGTTCCAGTGGCAGCTTTCTTTTTTACTTCCTTAACACTGTCCTTTTTTTTTTTTTTTTTTTTTTTTTTTATTTTGAGACAGGGTCTCCCTGTAGCCATAACTAGCCTGGAACTTGCTATGTAGACCAAGACTCACAAAGATCTGCCTGCCTCTGCCTCCCAAGTGCTGGGATTAAAGGCATGCACCACCACACCCAGCATCACTGTCTTTTGATAAGAGGATTTTTTTATTTTGATGAAGCTCAATTTGTGAATTATTTTACTTTGTATTTCATGTTGAATTCTGCCTATCTCAAAGGTCATGAACATCTTATAACTATTTCACTGTTTAGCTCTCATATCTATTATCCATCTCAAATTAATTTTTTATTTTCATTTTATGTGTATGAGTGTATTGCCTGGATGTTGGTAAGTGCACCCATGTCATGCAATGCCCACGGAGGTCAGACCACTGGGTTCCCCTGGAACTGGAGTTACAGACGGTGCTAGCTACCATGTGGGTGCTGGGAATCAAACCTGGGTCCTCTGCAAGAGCAATAGTGCTCTTAACCACTGAGCCATCTCTCCAGCCCCTCAAATTAATTTTTATATATGGTATGGGTAGAACCCAGGTTCATTTCCCCACACATAACTGTTGTGCTCAGTTCGTGAGACCCCCAAAGACCACCAAGGAGCCGACCAATGCAAACACACAAGGGCTTTTTATTGTTGCAAGCTTAAGCTTGGGCCTACTCTGTCACTGACCCAGCGGATCTCAGATGTGAAACCCCTTGCTTTGGGAGACAGAGGTTTTTATAGGTTTATTTCAGCAAGTTCAGCAAGTAGGGGGTCTCCAGCCTGGCAAGCATCTGATTGGTTGCAGCCCAGTGCCAAACCATAAACTGCTGCCTTCAGGAAATCTGAAGAGACATCTGGACTTTTAGTACTTTCCTGTCCCTGGTTAATTGACCGTTGGTGGGGGAGTTGTTCTCTATCTGTTCCAAGTATTCTTTTTTTATGGTTTTTCCTGGAACAGGGTTTAGGGCTGGGTCAGTCCCATGGAGGTTTTATCCAAGATGGAGTCACTCAGGTCTCTCATAACCAGTTGTTTTCTTTCCAGTTGTTTATTGAAAAGATACACACACATTGAACTACATTCTTTTCAAATATGAGGTGATCTATTTATTACCTATAAGCTTACCTTAGCCTTCCATTCTGTTCTACTTATGTATTTTGCCTATCCTTATACTAATACCACTGTTTTAACTTAATTCCTTACTTGTAAAGTCAGATAAAGCCTTCCAGCTTTGTTCTTTAAGACTGTGTTGATTCTTCCGAGTTGTATTTAAAATACAGCTGTTAATTTCTACCAAGAAAGCCTTCTGTGATATGCTGTACTATCAACCACAGGAAAATCCTTCTTTTTCATTCTTTTTGTAAAATAGTTTAAATTTGTATTATATTTATTTTGGGGGAGGGTACACACACCATGGCACATAGCTGGAGCTCAGAGAAACAGTTTCAGGAGTCAGTTCTTTCTTCTTCTACCACTTAGGTCCCAAAGATCAAATTCAGTTTCTCAGGTTGGACATGAAGTACCTTTACCTGGGGAACCATCTCGCTAGGCCCTGTTTTTTTTTTTTTTTTTTCCTTTGCTTCTACTTTTCTGAGATATACCATCTAGTAATTTACTTTTTTTTTGGGGGGGGGGTCTTATTGAGACAGGAGTATCCCTGTAGCCCCAGGTGACCTGGAATTAATTTGCTATGTAGACCAGGCTGGCTCACAGAGATCCACCTGCCTCTGCCTCCGAAGTGCTGGGGTTAAAGGTGGGCACAACCACGCCCGGCTTTTACATCTTGTTTTTATAACTCTTTGATCCAACTTCATTCCTATAGTCAGACTGTTCTAGACACATACCTTTTTAATTTCCTTCTGTGAAAAAAATTTCCCCCACTGGTCTTGGTGTTGTATGCCTTTAATCTCAGCAGATGAGGTCGATCTCTGTGAGTTTGATTCCAGCTTAGTCTATACAGTGAGTTCCAGGACAGCCAAAATCTTCACAGAGAGACCCTGTCTCAAAAGAAAAAAAGGAAAAAGAAAATTTTCTTTTTCTTTTCACTTGAAGTCAGGCTGGACCCTCACTAAATTCTTAAATTGCAACCTGCTTCAGCCTTCTGAATACTGGAATTCCAAATATGCACTACTAAGCATGGCTCCTCATTTCCTTTTTGAATTGGCTGTTAGGGTGTTTGGTTTTGTTGTTTAGTTTTATGGTACTAGGGATTGAACCCAGGACCTCACAGATGATAGATCTCAATTTCTTTTTTAAAAATATTTAATTTAGGGGCTGGAGAGATGGCTCAGCAGTTAAGAACACTGGTTGTTCTTGCAGATGACCCGGGTTTGAATCCCAGCACCCACATGTTAGCTAACAACTGTCTGTAACTCCAGTCCCAGGGAATCCGACGGCCTCTTCTGACCTCTGCAGGCATTGCACGACATGGGTACACTGACCTATATCCAGGTAATACACGCATACACATAAAATACAAAGAAAAAATATTTAATTTATTGTTTTTATGAGTATATGTATTGGGGAGGAGGGCATCGGATCCCATAGAACGGGAGTTACTGACAGTTGTTAGCTTCCATATGGGTGCTGAGAATCAACCCAGGTCCTCTGCAAAAGCACCCAGTACTCTTAAGTGCTGAGCCATCTCTCCAGCCCCAGAAGACCTCAGTTTCTTAAACTGGGTCAGAACCCCATGTATGACTACATATCTGAATGTGAAGGTTGAGAAAAAATTGGCAGCAGTAAAAGGTTTCTGAATGCACAACTAATTAATTCAATATCAAGCACATTAGGTGTTTGCGACAGCATTCACCCATGTTACACTGCATGTCTTCATCAAAACCTTTGTTCTGTACATGTAACATGTGCACTGTGCACTGTGCATGCTGTCCAGCCACACATCAGTGAACATGCCTGAAACAGATTGGCTCAGGTTAGACACTCTTGTGTCATGAACTACAGTGTTTTTAACAGTACAAAATTTCTGCTATTCTAGAAACATGGTTTAACTGCAAAAAACAAAACTTCTGATATTTTCCTACTATCATTCTCTAGCATGTATCGAATTGGCATAATCTTTAGACCAGACTGTTAGAATGTTTGATTTTTAAAATTGCTATTGGAGTTGCTGATTGACTTACATAGAAAAAAAATCAAATGAATTTTGGGTAGGTAGAAAATCCAACAATTTCTGAAATGTCTCTAAGCACAGTTCTGCCATTTTGTACTAAGTATCTATGGAAAGTGGCATTCTAAGCATTAATAATTACAAAATCAAAATACCAATAA